AGACCGAGCCACTCTGGTTGCTGTTCTCGGTTGGCAACTTTATAAATGAGTTCATTATTGCTAATGACGGAAATTGAAAAGCAGATTTAAAAAGTAAGATACCTTATTTAACAGGATGTTTTCTTTTTCCCTTAAAAATTAAGTAATGATAGGATATTTGATATATATTCAATCTAAAAAAGACAGAGACATCTGATATATCAAATAATGGACTTAAATGGATTAAAGGGCAATGATTAATATACAGTACATTCAATGATTTGTTATTATTCTTCAGCATCCTGGATACCAAGCCGAAGCCAAGCGAATACAATCCCATGTATTACGTTTGAGTCTGAATAGTTTGCATAAAACAAACCGTGTATTTTATAGATGTTGTAGAGGTTTTTATTCAGCATGTCATCTCTAATAAGTATCTCTGTCATCTGTGACTTTTATGGCAATGATCATTCGAAGCAGCATATCCCCTCCCCCCCCAACCACTGATTGCCAGACAATTTAGCTGTTAATGAGATCCGATGGACAGATGGACGGCCACAGTAAGGGCAGATTCTGTGTCCTCTCCGACTCAACAGGACATGAGGTGAGCCAGACACATTTCTCCTGAAACACATGTGGATTCCCATCTTTACAGTCAACACCCTCATGGGGTTGTTTGTCCTGAAACCCAAAAACAAACCCGACTTTGAGTCATGACTTGTACCCTCAGAGAAAAAGTCCCTTGAGGCATCTCATTTTAAAATCTTTTTGTTCCAGTTTCGAAAGAACACGAAAAATCTGCAATCGTGACGTATGCTAGAGCCCCAACCACAATCTCATCATTACATGTAAATCTCCATACATGATGTATTTTATAGCCGTTTTTCATCTTAAGAAATGTTGATTTATTCTTTTCTTGTAATAAAAAAATAAATAAATTCATATTTCCATGTCATCAAACATGTGAAGTTAACTCTGCGTACTTTGCTCTGACCAATAGTATTAGATAAAGAGAGAGCTTTAAGGTTATACGTACTGTAAATTGTCTAGTTTTGCCTCACAATCAATTGGCCTGATAGCCTGTAATGATTACATTAACCCATGTAACCAATATAATAGCACTGTGGGCTCACTAACACCAACATCAGTTACTGCCATGGCCTCCTCCACTTTCTGCCACGTATGTGTTTGTCTTTTAGCATGAAATTATTCATCCCAGCGGACGTTCAGTTGCTGCCTTGGATCTAGAAGGTCTTCATCCTCAAAGAGCAAACATGTTTCAATGTCAGATATAAATGTCAGTAGCTCAGTGCGACTCTCCCAATTTGGCGTGGAAATCGTATTCCTCAGATCAACTTGTGATATGAGCTGGAAATGCAGGTACCCAAAAACAAGAAAAAAAAAAGACTTGTGTATATAGCAGTGCAGTATTGAAGTGGGATGAAGCTGTTTTATTAGTGTATCATCACCATGGCGGAAAACTCTAGAGACAGATGGTTGAGGCGGCGTGTATCATGGAAGCACACTCTGTCAGTTCTACTCCTTGTTCACCAGCCTGTCCTGGGATTTACACCGTCCGGGTCTATCCTTAATGAGAGCTGTAATCACTCCACGCACTGGACCAGACAATCCGGCTAACGACGACGACTGTAAGATGAAGAAGCCAAACATAATTCTTAGCCAGTCCTCTGGGGTTTTTCCGGAGCATTCTTCATCACAGAGCTGCACTACCCGTCCCGTGCTTGTCGTTTGCTCACTTTGAAAACGATCCAATCTTGCGTGTCCGCAGTTGGCCTCTAATTTTACAGATACAAGCTGCCCCACTACAAGTCTACCTAAAAGCCTTTTTTTTAATAGACTTCCGATGCCCATTCCAGTTACCTTTTATGTAACAGAGAAGAGGATTCTGTGGGTTGATATGAGAATGCTCCTCTACCCTTTCCACTAGCTGTGTAGTGCCTGAAAGTGTGTCATTATGACAGATAGGGATTTATGATCGGCTAAATGATCGTTGCATTACTGGAAGTCCGCGGAAACTCTTTTCATCTTGTCAAACTATGAGTCATAAAAAGGATATTCAGCCCAACGATTTCTCCAAACAATAAATGATTTAAGAGGCAGTTTGTTGGGCCATCTGAAACAACCTTTGTTTACGTTCCAAGAACAGACTGAGTCATTTCTGGTGAATTGTTCCTATCTCTATGTAATTTTTAGGTTTCATGATGGTGTGTTTTCCTCCTTTTTTATTTCTACTTTTCTTTCAAATCCCTTTGATTTATGGTTAGATTTTGGTACCAAGATTTAAGTACCCAAGTCAACTTAGAAGTGAATTATAGAATGGTGTAATACAGTCTTTCAACGCATCACTTTATTACCAAATGGGAGAGAGAGTTGTTTTTTTACCGATAATTGTCATTCTAAAGTATTAAGAAAGTTGAAAGTGTCACGTCTGGTGTCTCGTCAAGTCTTGATTACCTATTGTGTACACCTGGGGTTCCCCTCCCTCGTGTGTTTAAATAGTCCTCGTTTCCCCTTGTCTGGCGCGAGTGCGTTTTCGTCTTTCGTCTCTTGTCCTAGTCCGTCTTGTCCGTCGTCTCCCCCACGCTAGGTTTGTTTTTGTCACAGTTTCTTGCCACAGTCATAGTCACAGTTTTGCCATAGTTTTGTCATTTGTTACTTTGTCACAGTCATAGTTTTGCCTCAGTCTTGTTTGCTTATTGCTTTGTTACTTTGCTCACAGTTTTCCACAGCTTTGATTTGTACTTTGTCTGGACATTCACTCATGAGTTTTTTGTTACAATAAACCTTGTTTCCCTCATCTCCGCACCTGAGTCCTCCCTCCAAGAACCACCCCCCTGACAGAGAGTATGTGTATACAATTTCTAAACAAACAGGCTTTCCTTCTCTCAGGTGCCTATGAAAACTGCTAAGTGATTACACTAATGAATATACCAACAACTCACAATATCTAATGGAATTATTGAAGTCATACTACTGATGAAACTTTTGATTTAAAGCAATTATATCCAAGTATCAGCACAAAATGTAAAATCGGCAAAGACATGGTTTATTGATTTGGCTCTTGGCACAATTTTCTCTGATTTTTTGTACCATTGAACAAGAAAATGACCAAACTAGAGAAACACTCATCAAGAAAAAACAGCTTACTTTACATTTAATGCATAAAATGATCCTAATAGCTGTAAAAGATGTTTTGAAATTATAAGTGGGTTTATCTATGAGTGAGACTGAATTTCACAGTTATCATTACCCTGCCTGGGTAAAACAATACATTTTAAGTCTGTTTCTTTAATGTATTTTTGCAGACACATCATGATGCTGACTGTGCCTCGGGTTCCTCTCTGTGCTGTTCTCTAAAATACCTGAATTACAAAACATATTGGTGGAAATAAGTAATAGCTACATGGATAGGAAGATTGTTGGAGGTTATGTTTTCCATGCTGTCAAAAAGACAAACAAGATAAAAGAGTGGCCTTGGATATATTGGTTTCAAGCTTGTCTTAAATGAGGAGGCATTCCCGGCAATGCTACTGGATTATGGCAGTTATATGTACAACAATACCTCATATTTCCTTGTGTCGCTCAGGACAGCCTTTTTTTTTTTCTATTACGCTGGCTGCAGGTTGTCCCCCCCCCTTCACGCTCCTAATATCACTCAATCTATCTCAGCCTCTAGTTTAATTAGCTGGAAAAGTCAGCATGAACTCTGGAGGTCTTGAAATACAGCCCCAACTGCATCTGTGAAATGGGATACATTTTCTTTTCTCTTGTCCATCTTTTTGAAGCCTTCACGCCCATCAACATGGAGGAGGGGTTTTCGGACCGTCGTTTCCCGCCTCTCCTTTGGCTGTTTTCTACGGCCTTGACAAGATGGCCGCCAAGCCCAATCTGGTTGACCGTGGTGAGGGACATCGCCGACTGTTCCAGCACGATACTCAACTTGTGCGCCCCCACTGTAGCATGGAAAAACCTTATCAAAAGTGTTCAGTAACCCACTCAACCAGGGTTTCCTGACAGGGATGCGGAGGCTCAGACCTGGGTCACGCGCCATGACACCGCAGTGGGGATTTGGTGGTGGCGGAGAATTTACATCAGGTCTCCACGGGGGGTCTATTAAGACTGCTCTGTTGTTAGCCTTGACGTCTGCTAAGTGAGTCGGCGATCTCTCCGGGCTTTTCTGCGGCCCCTTTGTGCCTCAGGATCAGAGGGGGTGGCAGCACAGCTCTCATGGAACCCTTTCATACTCTAAAACATCAACAGTTCTTTCAGATCTCGAGTGATCGCCCTGGAGGGGTTTTGCCTTCATCTTCCACAGCTTTGCATCATGGTGCGACTGTAGAGGATATCGTCACTGCAGAGTCTCCCTGCTCAACTATCGGTTTGTATCTACAGAATCTGTTGACTCGTTCCGTTCTGAGTGTTGTGTCAGAGTGAGGGAAGTGTGTAACCCTCTACCCATGACACAGGAAGACACAGGGACTGGGCAGACTTTCAGTTTGGTATTGCACGGACCCAGTGAGGTATAAACCACATCCTGCTTTGCCTTTAGCCCATTGACAATAGCCTTAAAGAGCGCAGCCTATACACAATTGAACAAACAAGTGTTTGTCCTTGTGTGTCTCTGTGTGGCCCTGCGATGGACTGGTGGACTGTCCAGGGTCTATCCCGCCTCTCGCCCACTGACCACTGGGAAAAGCTTCAGTTCCCCCCGCGACCCCATTAGGGAATAAGCGGTTTTCTGACAACAGGGTTTTGAGCAATTTTTTTACCCTTAAATGATATGAAAGGTCTCAAATGCAAAACATTTCAGAAACCGTATGTATAAAATATGATACATATGGTATTAAAGGGTTAAAGGGGGTTTGTCTATACACATAGAATCTGGGATTACAGTTCGTAACAAACGGTCTCTTCTGTTTGAAAGTGTTTGAAATGTAACATTTGAATTTTTTTTTTTTTTTTTACCCCTGACTAATGTTTTTTCTGCGTGTGCTGCGTGGCTACCCGCCCCGTTCGCAGGCGCCGGAGAGTCCGAAGGACCTCTGGCCCCCGCAGACGCAGGAGAGTCGCCCCACGCAGACGCCGCTAGGCCTCTCTAACATTTGAATTTTAACAGCAGTTTCATTCACATTGGTGCAGATTAGTAGTGGAGTCTCTAAAAATCAGTCAACTGAAAATAGACAGGATGTCAATTGAATACTTTTCCATTACACTAAATTTCCAGATGGGTCTGAGACTTATCTATTTTTTTCCATTCTCTCAAGTGGTAGAATTTCATTAAGCATTACCACTTCAACACAGTTTTGGACAAGTGTGTCTCTCCCTCATAAGATTTTTTTTTCATGTATAGATACATATGGTACCTTCAGATTCAGGCATGATACATGTTTAAATGAAACATTTAAGTTAAATTCAGTGCAGCTTAGTGAATTACTTATGCTGGTTTAATGCAGACACAGATTCTCCACTCTACATGAAAATAAGTCAGTTACTTAGTTATTACCGTGTTTAAATATATTCAAGGAGGTCTTTGACTGAATCTTCCATCAAATACCAAATGCCGTTTTTTGGCCACATTGTGAAGTTAACTGGATCTGTTGCATGTGTTTTTTGTCACAATTGCAGGAATATATGCTCCTGCACCTCAAGATGTGAAGGGTGATGCAGCATGCAGGGAACCCAGTTGTGTGAGGACTTGACACTCATAACACACAGACATGAGTCTGCATAGTAATGATCCGAGCCTACTTTGATGTTTTCTCTTTAATGTTGATATGAAAATTTAGCCTCTGAGATCTGCTGCAAAAGCTTTTAATGGTAAAATCTCACCAAAGACACTTGATATTCCTATCAAAAAATTTGCTGACACACAAAAACGACTCACATTATTGTTACTTTATCAGAATGACAATTTTCAGTAGCTTAGGTTAGAGTAGGCTACACAGGGAATATTTTTTTCTGGTCAATAGCAAGCAATACATTTCTATTTCAGTGTGTGATGTGGCCTCCCTCTGTTAGCTGCCTGAATGGTTTTCAAAATGTAATAAGTGTATGAGAAGTTGGGGTAGCTATCTCCCTCTTGCTTTGTGCTGCTTGTCGGCCTTTTTTTTCTATTGTTAGGCTTTCTTCTTGCAGCTCAACTCAGCTTACTGGACCTTGACAGCATTTCATTAGACAGGAGGTCCTCTGGGTTCCAGAAGTATAAAGGTCCCTTTTCTTCAGCAGGCGGGTACGTTGCTGCTCCCACTTGAATCTGGCCTACTAAGATGTCCTAAAATGTCTGTTAATGACTAACTACAATATGGCTCCTTTGTCTGTACAGGTCAAGCATTTTGCTCAATAGTGAGTCAGTAGTCAGTAGTGTTGAAGCCTTTTTTATTAAGATTTATATGAAATCACTTTCATGTTTCCTAAATAGCCGCACATTTTCTTCTATGAAAAAGAGGGTGTTATTCATAGATGGTCTTTGCAACTTTTTTGAACGTTGCACAGAATTAGTTTCCTGACTTTTCAAACCCCCTCTCCAATTTAAAGTTGCAATTTGCTGAAGCCAGTATTGGTTATGCAGGTGATTGCTCAACATGCATATTAAAGCACCTTGACCCTATAGATCAAATTTCTAATCCCAGCGTTTGGCTCAAGGACCAAAAAGATCCACTCAACAGCATCCATATTAATGACAAGCGCTGCAAATTGCGATGTAAGTGATGCATGGGATCGCATTATCATCAGGGTGCCAAAAGCCCACAGAACCATTCCGAGTTTAGCAAAAAGCATAAATCAAAATTGCATCCCAACATTTCAGTCATTTTAACCCGAAATGAGACAGAATTACAGGCTGGCATAAGGGCAGATCAGAACAGAGACACCATGGCCACTACAGACAGCATAATGGGCTGGACAAAATCTGTAGTCTCATCCTAATACCTTTGAGCCATCACAGCATCTCCCTGCTGAGATAACTGACTCATTTTGTCAGATGGTGTTTGAGACTTGGTCTCTGAAATGGACTAAGGGCCTATAAACCAGAACATGAAAAAGAAGTACTGATGAATCTCCAAAGCTGCCGTTTATATTCATTAGCAACTAGTGAATAAGTTCCCATGACGGCTTTATGTAACAAAAACACAAGGTGTTTTGATTTATGAGAACATGATTTTTATCTAAATAAATACAATTGCTTGTTTGAAAAGGTTTAGCGAATTAAACTTATTTGCGCCTTCATATAAAACAGTTATTTACATTAAATGTAGAGGGGATAGATCCGTAGTGAGTTAAAAAACTGAGCAGGCCAGTGGAAATCACTTTTAAACTGTGCAGACATTATGCTGCACTCAGCAGAAATACAACCTTGACACAGATTTATTATGCTGATCTTTTGTTCCCTAGATCCAACCATAGACCCTTGAAGAGATTCAAAAAGGACAACAACAATTGAGTTGATTGACAAAGACAGCAGAAAACATCACATTGAATGAAAGACTATCATCAAATCTATATTTGAAGAAGACTTACAAATAGGACAAGTTCAAAGATTGTCTTGCATATAATGAACCACGTTAAATCATCTTCCCAATAGCTTGTTGAAACACATTTAAAGTAAATGCCAGAACATAGTTTGTATAGACTCCCCTCACTCAGATTTTTAGATTGTTTAGCTACTAAGTACCTTATGTCATACTCTAAAAAAAACACAGCAGTGAATATTTTCGGCAGGAGTGACACAGACTACATAATTGTGACCATTGCAAATATACATCGCTCTAATTGAGCTAATTTAATTTTTCAAAATCGCGAGAGAAATGTAAATTGAAACAAAAATCCACAACTTTGCAGTTGAAAAAGTAACTGTAGAGTAAATATCTGTGGGTAATTTAAGGTAGTTTTCCTAACAGATACTTCAGAGATTGAAAGTAAATGAGCCAACTGGGGATGCAGCCTGCCAAGAGCACTGCTGGAGTCACAGCTGTTCAAACGGGGAAGTGCAGCAGACAAAGTAGACACTTATAATGACTTCGGAACACTTGCTCTGATTACATGTTGGTAGTCCCTAATTGTCACTCGCTACGAAGATAAAGTGGCTGCGTCCAGCACAAAACAAATTATTTGATGACAGATTTAGCTCCGAAGTTTGGGTGCCACTGAGACGAGGAGCAAGGGTGACTAAACAAAGTTGTTGTGCCAGAATGCCTCTTGTAGCGCAAAGCAACATCCCCGTAGTTGTCATTCTAATCTGGTCTTGCTTGAATCTGATATCAGAAGGGCAGTGTGACTCAGAAGACCTTTTGATTTATCAGGGCACTTAGGCCTGGAGGGTCCTGTTGTTTCCACTGTGAGCCCGCGGGCAACTATCACTTGCCGTTAAACCCAGGAAATCGGTCTCATTGATGAATGAGGAAGAAATGGGATGTATCCATGAACGGGGGGTGACAAAGTCCTGTGTCACGGCAGCACACAGCTGGAAAAGGACCGAGGAAAAGGGGGACTCGGTTGGGCATACCTAGAGGGAGGGAGGGGGGCTTATAAATGGCTCCCGCTTTAGGCCAACTACTCAATTAGCCGATCTGACAAAGTGCTCTGTCTCCCTTCTACCACTGTTTTTCTGCCTCGGTGCAATGAGTGTCCTTAACGTACGGGGGAAGAAAAAGAAGACGGGGTAGGTCTGATCAGGGCTTAAGGTCAAAGAGGTTGTATTAGATTTTTTTTTCCCGATAATCAATTATGATAATCAATTAAATGTAATGGGATGAGACTTCAGAAAGAGTAATTATATTATTTTACAACCGGTGACTTAAAAGTTCTGGCTGTGATGAAATTCAAACTTTATGACCATGATATAGGACTGCAGGGAGGGCAGCCTGTAAAATAGTCTACATTCTGAAATTAATCCCTACAGTGAAATTGACTTCTTAATATTTTTGGGTGATGGCCAAAGCTATTTCCATAATTCTCGACATAATTTCCAAACTTGAGAAGGATACATAAGAGTTTGTGAGGTATCAAAATGGTATCAATCACAAAACTTAAAAGCCAAAAAACAAAAGAAATTTAATGAATTTGTGAGTTGTTTAGGCTAGGACAAGTAAATTCTAGGTCAAACTGAATGGAAGTTATAAAATCAATCTTTGGTTTTATTAAAATGATTGCCATAGAGACATGGTGGCTGTCACATTTCTGGTCATTAAAAAAGAGAAGCACTGTCATAAAACTAAATAAAAAAGAAATTCTTCATCCACATTTTTTATGTTTAAATTCTGTGTGTAAAGTGTGTAAAATGTGTGTAAAGTATTCCCATTGTCTTTCTTCATCTTAAAATCTGTGACATTTCTGCTTTCGATGCAGTGGAGAGCGGTCAGAGTTTTCTCATTTAGAGGAATCAGAACTTTTCTTTACTGAGTAAGTCAAAGCAAATCAAAGGGGGCACGTGATAACATTTATAAATCCATTAAAAGAAATGTATTCAACTCAAAACAACCAAGGAAAAAGGCTGTTTAAGTGAATGTTGTGTAATGGATTTTTACACATTTTGCATAGATCCATTTTTGTCATGTGGTGTGACAGCCATGACCATGTTTCAACCTGTAAAATGTAAAACATGTTAAAAAAAGATTTACACGAACACATTGTCAAATGAAAATTCAGCAGGAAAGACAGTTAGGGAAAAGGTTCAAATTCGTCATCTTGCAACTGACATCTTGTAAATGTTCCAATTTGAATATGTCCTTTGCCTCCCCCTCAAAAAGGCTTTTAGGCTGATCCTATTTGGAAGGGATTCTTTTCTTATTCTGGGGAATAAAAGCACTTTGGCTTTATTTTAAACCCAACAGCACAGCTCTGTACAGCCATCTTTGACTGAGACTTTCCCATTTTGTTGAAATTACGACTAAATTTTCTTTTCACAGCAACGTTTTCCAACTTGTATTCACAGTTCTGTTGAAAGCAGGTGTGCTTTTTTAGACACAGGCAGTAAATGGTAGGGCAACTGTGCAAATGAAGTTGGACAAAAGTTACCTTCCTGCAAATTTTGAAATACCTCATTACCATTTAAGAAATCATGTCTTACCTTTTTCTGAGCCAAAACACTGTAACAGCTTG